TAATTACTCTAGTCAGGCGAATATAAAATTACATTTCGAAAGTTGTACAAGTCTTATAAACATAATATGCATTGACAGATTAATATTATGTTTATTAGACAAACTGACCCTATAAATAAAACTAAAAATTGACGAGAACAAACTGCCGCGCTCAATAAAATTAATAAGAACATTTTGAATTTTATTTGGAATATGAAAAATTTAATGGTGATTTTACGAAATAGCCATATAGAGTGTTATGCAACACAAAAACAAAAGGGAAAAAAGTTTTATTAAAAGTGCATTTCAAAATTTCTACACAGCATTTTGTCAAAATTAAAAAGTTACCTGTTGAATATTATGAAAGCAAATTTTGAATTACATAGGGGAAATTTTGAACAAACTAAAAAACTTTCGAAATAATTTGAGTTTAAATTTTTGTTGCTGCTGATTTGCGATTAACTCTGTAATTGGAATTTAAATTTGTTACTTTTTTTTATTATTATTTTTTCCAATATTCTTCTTCAATTCATACCTTTATAATGAACGTGATCAAATTATAGAAACAGGTTATACCTTGTACCCTATAACCCTAGGTGGTTCAAATTAATTAAATTTATTTTTAAAATATTATTAGCAAAATTTTCTTCTTTTTATAAGTCAATTATTACAGTTTTAAAAGAAAAGAAAAGACTACTGATTTGCAGGTGATTTTGTTTTGATTACACACTTAATGTCTACATAGACTTGGTGTTTAAATATTGTATGTAAGTATGTTAAAGTGTACCATATACCTACAGTCTAATTCAAATATAATTTTATATAACAACTATTTATGGTTTTTAGTCTTTTGTTATTTACAAAAAAAAAAATATTCCAACGATATTATTAATTATTTCGTGATCGTTTTGATGATAGGAAAAATTAAAAGAAAACAAATAAAAGAGAAATTGCGATATTTTAATTAAAAAAAAATAAAAAAAAAATATTAAAAATAAATTATTGGCTCTCTTCTTGACCTCGCCATCATCAAAAATAATTTTTCTATGATCACAATTTTATGATTTCTTTTTAAGATTTATTAAAAAAAAACGCAAGAAATCAACATAAATTTTAATTCCTTTGGAAATTTTTAAATTATAAGAGTCACAATAAAAAACAAAAGTTTCTTTAATCAACACAAAAGATAGTAGCTATGAATGATAATTTGAAATCAAATTTATTTGCTTGTGCTCATGAAGATTTATATTTTTTTTTTAATTTTGAATTATTTTGAAATTATGAAATTATTGCTGAAATTTTTTATTAAGAAAAAAAAGTAAAAATTCGAAAACTATAAATTATGTGAGATTATTTTGTAATTAATTTATTCAAATGGCAAAGGTTAACCATACAGTCTACTTATCAAATGGTAATTGGAATATGGCAATGTTACATGGTTTGCAACTATGGTTCGGAATTATTTTAAAATCTCATAAATAATAGAACGAGTTAAAAAAAAACCAACAAAAATTAAACATTCGCAAATACTTTTTTTAGACAGTCTTATTTTATTGCATATGTTAGGGGGCAGTATTTTACAATAATTTTCAGGAGAATGGTCAATTCGTCATTTTGAAATTTCTTCACAATTTTCTAAGTTAGGAAATATCACACATCTTGGGAACGTGATTTCTACCTTCATACGTCATTGTCACCTTTATATGATTCCAAAATTTAAAAAATGACTGGAAAATATAAAAATGGCATTACCACGTTACTAAATACTAAAATAAGAGTTTACTTTATTGCGAGTGTTCTTACCAAATGGAAAATTGGAACAATTCACTAAAAAAAACACAATATTTTACTTGAATTCAACAACAATTAATATGGTTATATATACAATACAGGGTGATGAGAGTATATCTTAGGTACTTTATCATTTGTACTTTATTATTTTTTTATTTTTATTATAAATTTATTCAAAATTTATTAAATTACTAAAAATTTTTGAATTCGCGTATAAATCACTTCTTACTTATCAGAGTTGGCAGTGCCCATCAAAAAAAAAAAAAATTTGCCAAATGACAAATTTCATTTTTATCAATGATAATGCCTTCAAATTGCAAGTTATAATATAGCCTCGTCATATTATACATATGCTTTTGAGTTCTGAATGATTTATACAGGACGTTGTGCATAAAGTATGGTAAATAATTTCAAGGGATGATTCTTTGATCAATTTCCAACAAAAACTTGTAGGGATGGGGTGCAGATATACTCGTTTTCGAGCTACAGCCTGTTGATAAAAAAGGTGACAGCATTTCCGTTCATATATATAAATATATATAACTTCGGAGCCGTGTAACATAGAGTAACCACCGGGGTCTTTTTTTGCAAGTGATTTATTACTTATTCTTTTCAGTCTTACAATCAATTTGATCTGTGCAATAGTTTTCGAGATAAAGCTCATCAAAGTCAGAATTTTGGTTTTGTTTTTGATTTTTTTTCTTTAAAAAACTGAAAATTTCTCGAAAATTCGTGTTATTATTTAATTTTTTATTGTTTTCTTTTTTGGTGCGCCACAATGTGTTCTAAAAGTTATTCCATATAACATTTTTCTCTATCTCTCATAGTCTTGCCAGTTAAAACGTCTCAAATATGTTTAAATAACATGCGAAAAATGTCACAGTTATAAAATTGAAACATAACATTCACAAATATTTTATTAGTTTAGTATGTATAATAAGTAATTTGTTCGGAGATTAATAGAATAAAATACAAGTAATTTCCCTTAAAGTAGTTCTAAATTTTTTAATCAATCTCAAATTTTTACAGCAAAATTCAAATTAATCATAAAGAATCAAAATGTTATATAAGGTAACGGTAATACTAATAAAAGCTCCTTAATAAATTATTTTTCCCTAAGTAAATTTAAATGACAATAACTCTAAAAATACACCTAATCTATACCTAATTCCTACCTTTTTATCATCCCATTTTCTTAATTTAAATCCTTGAGGATTTAAATTAATGTATGATCAAATAAACAAATAAGGTCCTATATATTAAATATTAAGGTTTTAATATCTTCTAATTTTAATTTTGAAAAACTTTTTTCTTCAGGTATATACGTAGATAAGGTACCTTTAAAAAATTTCCATTTAACTAAAATATCAATAATAATATAAGTAATTAATTAACATACCATAAAAAGGATAACCCTAAGTATTAAATCTGTAATATTTTTCATACACTTTCACACTCATGCAATTATTTCAAATTCGTTTCTTACCCAAAAAAAAAAACATATTAATTTTTTGACATTTTAATATTATTTTTCAAGGTCATTATATAATAAATTTTATTGATTTACAATATTGTAAGCACGTACATAATATATTTTATTTATTTATAAAATATATATACGTATGTAAACATACATATATAAGTGTATTGAATATGAAAACAAAATGAAAGTCAAATTGGTACAAACCATCATTTTACCCAAAAATATTTTAAATGAAAATTTCATTCGTACTTCAAGGCTTTTCGATAACAAAAATTAGTTCAACTTGAAAAGCTTTAAATTTTCTATAATATTTTATATTAATGTAGGTATGTATGCCATATATCACATTTTCATAAATATACTGTCGGTATTGTTTGTATGTGTAATATATTTACAAACTTACATTAAACATTATAATATTGCTATAGGAAAACAAAATCAGTCCTTTTATGTATAAAACAAGAGACAGAAACTAAAACCATTTTTGTAAATATTTAATTTTACTTTATATGGCAAAACAGCAAAAAAAAAAAACAAACAGAATCTAGAATAAAACAAAAAATTTTCGTTTTTAAATTGAAGAGCTTTTTTAATTCATTTATCATATAAAAAGGACTTCTTATCGAATTTCAGTATTGGAAAATCTAAACTAGCTAGCTACAAAATATAATAGAGAAAAAACCAAAAGAAAAACTTAAGAACATAAAATTTTACTTTAGTATTCAAAAGACTTAAGCAAATATTGTGGTGACAAAGAAAAATTTAGATTTGAAAATTTAAAAAGGATGCTTTTATGTTTTGGTTTCTATTTTTTTCTGCCAATATATAAGAAAATGAAAAAATAGAACACTATTTGCATCTAAATGAATCATTTGTGTATTTGAATTCTTTTAGTTTGTTGTCATTTATACCAGAAAAAATAACACCAAAAACAAATTTTTTGAATGCTCTTTTTCCATATCATTGCAACAGATTTGATGATAAGATCTTGCATCGAATATATAGGCCTGAAATTTATTTGTTGCTCTGTCATGAATTAATAATATCCGAAAATATTGATCATAGAGATTTGAATACATAAATTTTTTTCATAGATTTTCTACATCTAACTACATCAACATTGCAATTACATTGAGAAATATTTAAAATTATTAAATTGTTAAGAAACTCGGGTCGAACTAATGGCTTCTAAAGCAGGACATTTTTTTTAAATATTCATTCTTTTTAAAAATTAATCTGTTTGAATGAGAACTCAATAATCTCATCTGTATTTGAAATTGATATTGTGGTATTTCCTTCTGATGCATACTTCTTGGGGACGAAAATAAGATTGGTAGTAATTTCCTAAAAGAACCCGAAAGTAAGAAAGATCGTTGCAAGATTTCAACATTTAAAATTCCTTAAAATAGATTTTATTTAACAAAGAAGTAGGGATATAAAATTATGTTCGAACACATTTAATTAATTTTAGTTCGGCACTGTCGAATTATTAAATAAATATTTATAAAATAAAATTACTTTTTTAATTTTAAATTTCAAATTTCTTTTGAAAATTTTCGTAGGCCAACACTACTCCGAGAACTTAATAACTGCGAAATATAAGTAATTGGAAATGAACATAATAAGTATCACATCCATTTTGAAAAATAATATTATATGTGCATTCCCTATTTAATCATGAAACAATACAATTACAAATTTCAAACACTATGTTTTATAAATACATACATTACACTTCCTTACTTACCAGCTTTTATTTCTGAAAGCAATTATCAATTTTGTTTATCTTTGGTCCCAAAAACCATCATTTGAATTTAATTTTAAATTGACATTGGTTTGTGAATCTGTAATGGAAAAAAATCATAAAATAATTAGTTAATGAAACTATTTCTAAGCAAAAACAATTATTGAGTTTTAATTTATTTATTAAGAATGAACCGGGATTTATGTACTTACATTAAAAAAGTTAATAATACAAACAATCTTACTCATGTTAATCTTTTGGTTTCATATAATCTAATGCGACTTTTAACAATGCTCACATATCACGCGATTTAACTGAGCTTTGTAGATTCCAATTTGACTCCTAATATTGACTCCTGATATTGATATAGACTTAATTCCTAATATACAGCACTTTACGACATTATAAACTGATTTTTGTATTAATAAAATAAAAATATTTTGATTTTAACAATAAATTTGACTTTATTCCTAAACTTGAAAATAATCGTAATCAAACCAAAATGATTGATAGATTTTGTTACTTAATATCTTGACATTTGATTGAATATCAAATACAAATAAATAAAATAAGAAATAGAAAAATCGAATTCATAAAATCTTAATCTTAGAATCTTAATTTATTTTATATATTTATAGTAATTTTCTTTCTTTTGCCCCAATTCTGTAAAAATTTTCTTTAAATTTCTTCTAGGCATTTTCAAAAATAATAGTACAAATTTAAGAAATTTGAGACAATATTGAAAATAAAATAAGAGAAAATTTCTCTTAATGGAATTTTTTTTTCTCTTATATTAATTCCAATTTAATATTATATTTCATTGGTACCATTCAACATTTTCGGTGACGTTCGATCGAAAAATCGATAGTAAATTAAATTTTAAATTCTTATATAGAATAAAATCTCACAAGGCATTTTGTATACGTACGGCATTACCATAATAGTTATATACTAGTTATTTAAATAATTAATTTCAATGGCATGGCAGGGTGTGACGTGGTTTAGGTGTCTGTATTTCATTGATATTTTAATTTATTTTGTTGCCGACAATATAATTATTTTGCAGTTCCAGATAAATCACAAATCAATATTAATCAAAATTTACTATAAAATATCAATAAAAAAAACAATAGAAAAAACCTAAACAAATAAAAGAAATTATAACAATAAAATCTATTTGACAATTTTGGAAAAAAATTTATTCATCAATTGAATATAAAATTGTGTTGTTATTCGCGCAGTCAACAAATTTCAATTTATTTTGAATGGAAAATTTTCTGTTACTCTTTATACCCGTACGAACGTATGTTCGAAGGGTATACTAAATTTGCCTTACCGTTTGTAACGCTAAGAAATAACGGTGTTAGATATAGACTCAAGTGTATGTTTTTGATCAGCGTCAAATTCTGAGTTAATTTAGCTTTGTCTGTCCGTCCGTCCGTCCGAACGATAACTCAAAAACTAATAGAGCTAAGTTCACCAAATTTTCACAAATGATTTATTGAAGTAAGTGCCAGAACCCTATTTAAACTGGACGTGATCGGGGTACCGGTTCGGGCAGCTGCCATACAACTTCAAAATTTATTTGGCTATATCTCAGAAACTATAAAAGTTGTGGTATTGAAATTTCACACAAACAAATATATTAGTAGGCCTAATGTGTCTCATAAAAGTCGTTGAAATTACTTGGCTCCTTCTGGTACCTGCCATACAACTTCAAAAGTTATTTGACTATATTTCAGAAACTATTAAAGCTATGGCATTGAAATTTCACACAAGCGAAGATATTAGTAGGGCCAATGTGTTCGATAAAAGTCATTTGAATTGCTTGGCTCGTTCTGGTACCTGCCATACAACTTCAAAATTTATTTGGCAATATCTCAGAAGCTATAAAAGCTGTGATATTGAGATTTCACACAAGTGAATATATTAGTAGGGCCGATGTGCTTGATAAAATTCGCTAAAATTTCTTATCTCTTTCTGGTAGCTGCCATATAACTTCAATAGTAGTTTAGTACAGCCAGTATTTTGAAAAACACATAGTACTGAAATTTTGCATAAATTAATATGGTAATACGGCAACTTAAAGTCATAGTCTGCCCTATAGTTAGTTATGCCACATTAGTTATTCGCATATTGGATAACAAATTCGTACGGGTATCACAGAGTTGACAAGGTCAACTCTACTTTTTTTCTCGTTTTTTATTTTATTAAATTGAAAGACAAAATGTGACATTTTAAGAAAATTGTCAACAACAAATAAAATAAAATCATTTTTTTTCTAATTTTATTAAAGTTTTCAATTTAATTCTTTATTAAACTATCATTGAAGGGAACGTGATTTCTACACTATCAATTTAAAATCAATAGAAAAATTCATCTTGATTTTATTCAAATTTGGTTAAACTTTGTGTATGTAGTTCCAGAAATCTTTAACAATAGCATTTCTAATGAAAGCAATAATTTATGTATGTATTTATGTACCGACGTATGTATATGTATAAATTTTCATGGGTAGGACTACAACTGCAATTTGAATCCTTTGAACGAAATTCGTTGCGATACATAATATGTATAAGATTTACAGTACTATCATTTGCGTACATATACAATCTCCATATGTAGGTAGCACGAAAAGTTTTAGATCAAAGTCAAAGACACAATGATAAATTTTAGATTAAATTGAAGTCTTTCTTAATGTTAAATGATATTGAACAATTGTAGAATAGGTCAGTTTCAGCGACTATTCATAGGCCATGAGTTGGCTGTTTATCCTACATCAAGGCATACATAGGGAAAACAAAATCAAAATTTCACTTTTAATTTTATTTTTAATTACAAATATAGAAATTTTCTTTAAAATCAATAGCAACTAATTCTCATCTACTTAAAAAGAACTTTATAACTGCAATGTTTTTTTTATTAAGCTAAAATTATATTGTGATCCGCCAACTGTCACAACAAATTTTCATAATTAATTTTACTCAATACTCTAATTATTCTATTTACGAGCTTTTTACAGTGATAATTCATAATCTCGAGAATTTTGTCAATCTAGATCCATAATATCCAAATTTTTCTACCACCCTACGTCTTAAAAATGAAGAATAAAAAATTATTGCATTCGTTATTCTTATAAACTATTTTTATCACGTCCTTGCTATCAACATATCAAAGCGAAATTTAGAAAAACTCTGGACACAAGAATTAAATACAAAACTAAAATGTTAAAATTTACATTTGAACACTTTTACTACATTTAAACCTTATACACTACTTACAATACCTTTAAAATTTTTTTATTTAAAAATTTACGTGACATGGAAATAAGTACGTTTACACATGAATCATTTCTAAGAGCAGAAAGTGAGGGAATTGAATTCACTTTCGGTTTTGTGATAAAAAAATAAATTAGAAATAAAAATTATTCAATTTTAATGTTGATAAAATACGCAATTTTTTGAATGGAATATAAAGCGAATGGTCAATAAACTCATTCAAAAAGAATATTTCATGGAATCCTAAAGGAAATTAGGTAAATATTTGTGAAATGAGGAGCTTTGTCATTTGTAGAAATATATACTGTTTAATATTATTGGCACATAATTAATTGTTTTTGAAAAAGAAAGTTAAGCAAGTTAAATAAGGAGTGTCCTCTCAAGCTTGTTTGAATTTAAAATTGCAAACAATAACACAGATCTTTACTACCAATAACGTTAACGAATCGAAAAATTTTGAGAATCATGAAATCGTCTTTGAATTGCATGGATAGACAGCTGGTTTCAAAGTAGAATTTTCAACTGTTTGTCTATGTATTAGAAACTTACAACAATGTAAATAAAATTGGGTCAAACCAATGGTTTGTATTGTAGCACTTTTCCCTTCAACAAAGAAAGTACTGCTTTTAATTAATACAGTCTATGTATACCGTCGACATTATTAAAATTATTTTCATTCATGTACGGAGCTATTTCTACGTTTGCATACATTTAGGATGAACGATTTATGCAGTCTGAAATAAAGCAAAATTAATTTAAAGAAGGGTTCACATGATTCTCGATTTTAAGGATTGTGTGAATTAAGAAAAATAGCTATATTTTTTAATGACACGGAATTTACCGTTAGCTTTTTACTTTTATAGAAATTTGAAAAACCTTGTGGTTTCGTAAATATAAGGTGCGAAGTATTAAAATTTTACAAATTTCGAGAGGTGATAACTTGAGAGGGGTGGAGATGGGAAAAAATTTTCTTCTAACGAAAGAAAATATTTATGAATATCTCAGAGCTGCTGACTGTATCAGACTCCTGTAACCTAACGTAAGGTGTAGAAGAAAAACGGCATCAAAAATTTGGAAAAAAAGGATTTCAGATAACGGTAAATTTTAACCGCCATTTTGCTTTTTTAAAGTCCAGAAATGGTATTCCAAGATACAAGAAGCCACCTACTATTTTTCTTCCTTTGCAAAATTTGAAAAATAATTATGGCTTCATTGCAATAAATAATTAAAAAAATACCATTTTTAGGGTTTTAGGGGGTATAACTTTAACGTAAATAAGTTTCTAGTAAAGATCCATGTACGTATAAAATTTCAGCTTTCTATCTTCTAGGTAGAAGTTTTGTAAACAAACACACGGACAGACGGACGGACGGATGCACAGAGTGAAACTAATAAGCACTTTTTTTCAGAAATTTTTTTGAAAAGTGCTAAAGAATAAATGTAATAAAAAAGCTTGTGAGCCAGACCCTTTCAAAATCAAAATTTTTAGTTTAATCTTCAAATTTCTCAAAAAATCACACAAAACACTTTAACATAAATAAATTGAAACCAAAAAACAAAAAATTATTCTAAAAATTTATTTAAAATTTTTCTGATATTTTTATTTAATCCTTAGAACCACAATTGACCGAATGAACCACAATTTCCTTAAATTTTAATTTAAAACAAATGCATTGGAATTGACAAAAGCCTCTACTTAATTAATAATCCAAGGAAAAAGAACAACCTTAAAAATTTTAAACAGCATTTTCAGTTTTCTTTAAACAACAAAATATTTATTGTACTTCACTTTTAAAATAATTTCACTTTAGTTAATAAGCAA